AGGCAATATAACTTTGTTGGGTGCCATGGAAAGCGGGAATTTCGAGGGCTTAAAGTTTTTGAAGTGCTATATGGTAAGTTCATTAGTTGTAAGATATTTTGTTGATGTTTGAATAACGGATGCTCACTACAGCTGCAGTCATTCAGAATCAACTTTTCTCTCCACCACTGTGAGCGGCTAGCTTCGCAATAACAGAAGTTTGACTTGATTGACGCGGGAATGTTCCCAGTTAGCCTAGCGGTCAGCAAGGAGGCTTCAGCGCTGCATTATGGGATCTGTAGTTTGTATATTATTAGCGCCTCATATCGCCGGGCCATGCATAACAATAATAGTACATCTATATAAAATGATCTTGCGGGCCGGATATAAATGTATGCCGGGCCGGATGTGGCCCGCAGGCCTTGACTTTGACACGTGGTTTAGATAGACTGTACAAATTGTGGAGATGAAACCATCAGCTCATGTTGTTCTGGAGGTTGGTGGCTGCTGGCAGGAATGACCACGTTTCTTTCTGGCTTGTAGCATACTTGAAGAAGTCTCTCACTAAACAGTTTTTTGGTTGCTCACAGAATGTGAATAAGCTCCAGGAACTCCAGAGCCAGCCTCTATTTTTTCCAGTGTAATTAGTAACACACTGATTTATCTGATAGCCCTATTTTTGATTTACATGAAAATTATTGGCGCCCGCCTGGCACACACCTCAAGAAGTGGAATCTGTTTTCTCCTTGGTAGATGTAGCCCTTGTTACATTTTACTATTTTGTTTTGTGTTCATTATGAGGTGCTGTACCATGCAAAAAACTGGTTAACCACTTGCCTGTTCTAAGCTCTGTGCCAATCACTGAGACAGCCCACAACACCAGTTATCATTGTAACTATGTAGACATCTTTTAAACATTTGTCTTAAATGTTTTAAGGTAAAATATTTCACATTAATTTAATTTTTGAGTGCCTACTTGGTAAATCATTTTGTAAATAGCTTTTCTGTTTCCATGAATACTCATGGTCTTCAAAGAGTTCAATGTAGGAGGTCAAACAACTTGAACAGCACAACCTCCAAAACAACTTCAGTACTATCGCAAATCTGATTTTGTTTGTGAAAATGCACTAATTTTTTATTTTATTTTATTTCTTTCAGGACCAATGGATTGGTGAATGAGTGAGAAGCTGTGGTTTGCTGCATTTGTTTTTCCTTTAAACTGTATAACATTTATTTGTTATTGTTTTGTGTATACTGTGGACATTTTTGTCAACATGTTCTCCAAACAAAAAATGTATTATATAAAAAAGCATACTGTTTTAAAATTTCATAGTAATCAGTATTAATAAAAAAGATAAACTGGCTTTGTTGTACAGGTGATTTAAATTATAGCTTACTTACATTATCCAAGATTCCATCTGGGCAAACACACTTGGGGCCACCATGGAAACTGAGGACAAAAATAGCTGGGTCTCAGGTTGGTAACCCAAGTGGGCCCCAAGTATCAGACCTGCTTCTATCCATCTGGGCCCCATACTCATTTATTGTCTGGGGCTGATTTGGGACCCATCATTAACCCATCTGGGAAAACACATTTGGGGCCATCATGGAAACTGAGGACAAAAGTAGCTGGGTGCCAGGTGGGTAACCCAAGTGGGCCCCAACCATCAGACCCGCTTCTACCCATCTGGGCCCCATACTCATTTGTTGGCTGGGCCTGATTTGGGGCCCATCCGGGTCCCATCAATAATCCATCTGGGCAAACACATTTGGGGCCACCATGGAAACTGAGGACAAAATTAGCTGGGTCCTAGGTGGGTAACCCAAGTGGGCCCCAAATATCAGATCTGCTTCTACCCATCTGGGCCCCACATATTTTTTTTGACTGGGCCTGATTTGGGGCTTATCTGGGACCCAGCATAAACCCATCTAGGAAAACACATTTGGGGCCACCATGGAAACTGAGGACAAAATTAGCTGGATCCCAGTTGGGTTTCCCAAGTGGGCCCCAAATATTAGCCCTGCTGCTCCCTATTTGGGCCCCACATATGTGTGTTGACTGGGGTCTGTTATCCACCAGCTCGATAGCTAGCCGGGAGCTCGAGGGTCACTAGAGCCGGCGAGAACTCCCGGCGGATCATTTTCAGATCACCGTGGTCTTGCACTACTCAGGTTAAACGTGATATATAAGTCACTTAGATAACCTAAAAATGTTATTGTTTGGCTTTTTTCAGTGTTTTATTTGTTCCTGAGTAAATCAGTTTGGCTGAGATTAAAGTTCTTAGATTAGATTAGATAAAATAAAACTTTATTAATCCACGTCAAACAGAAAACTGATTAAACAGAAGTGTGAGATGGTCGAGAATTTACACCAGTGTCCTGTTATATTTTAGATAGCAAGGAGCAGACGGACGAGTTTATTAAACTCCACCGAGACAGCGGTGATGCAAATCTGAAGGCTAGACCGTCCAGTTTCACAGCCGCTCGCTTCCTGTCTACCTGACCTTCTGAGGACCCAGCCCACGTAGACCGTGAACGACGGGTCCTCAGGAGGATTCAGCCTATGAATTTGGACACCCCTAACATGTCTTGAAGTTCTCCAGAGGCCTGGTAATGAACTAATCATGTGATTCAGGTGTGCTGACCCAGGGTGAGGTCTAAAAACCTGCAGGACACCGGCCCCCGAGGCCTGGAGTTAGACACCCCTGGCATGAAGCCTGTCGGAGAAGGTCTTCATTTTCAGATGTTTGTGTTTGTTACTGCTGTGATGACAAAGCAGCCTTTTATGCCCCATTCTTTTACACAGCCTCAACATGAGAAACAGGTTGGGAGGGTAGCATTTAATAACAAATGTTCCCTTTGTGCAAGTATCAGGCCATTTCCCCAATTTCCATGAAACAAACTGGCCTAAATAAACCTAATGTAAGGCGATATCCTTACACATTTAGACAATATAGCTTATTTAGATGATATATGGTACCTAGTACTGCATATCATGTATTATATACAACACTGGAAACTCAGGAAACACTGGGGACTTTTTGCACTTCCTCTTGTTTTGAAAGGACTTGTGTCCTAAATGCCAAACTTCACCACAAACAACCCTAAAGTATGTAGCAAGAACAGACATACAGCTGGTGAGGATGTACATGTCTGACATGGGGTGTGTAAAACAAGAGCAAAACTAAACATTAGTTGGGCTTTTGCAATGTACCTGAATGAAAAGGCACTGCGATTTAAAAGCACACAAAGTAAAAATGCTGTCATGAGTCATGGAAGTAATGGGAAAAAAGCCATTCTATATGACAATAACCTCTACACTATAACAATGCAAACCCTCTGCACTAAATGAATAGGAACAACACCTCCAAATGAAGGCGTCTTTATTAATGCTATAGCTGCATGTGGAATGAAAACTAAACTGTGGCTATTTACTGATACCACCAGTGTCAACTTCACACAGCATGTGATTTCTGCCAGAATGTAAATAAACCACTCACCATCTTAATCAAGCACTTGAAATATGACACAGAAAATGAACATTTAATGTTTAACAACTTGTTTATAATCTTTACGTGACTGTATTAATATGTAGTGTCATCTTCTCTGCTGAAGTTACTCCAAACAAGACAAGCCTCTCATTTTTCCCTAAGCACCTTGTGACCAGTTAGGTCTGTGATTCACAATTATGTTATTATTTACAATAATGCACTTTTTGGACGATCTTGTTAGTAGTGCTGCAGACCGCGCTGGGTGCTGTGGCATCACAAAGCTCCAATTTAAAGCAGAGAACCCATAAGCCTGAAGTGAAGTGTACTTGCACTAATTAAAAATGATTTCAGTTGGACTGGAATGATTTAATTTATCACAACAAACCCACTATCTGTCAGCAAAAGAAGAAAAGGCCCACTGACAAAGAATTTTTCTGGGCCTCATAGTCCTTCAGTAAGCAGTAAGGACTTGATGAATTTCTGTACAAATAAATAAAACTCTCACAACCTTTAGATGAAACATGGGAACAAGATGCTGCAGGTGTAGCTAACTGTGAGCAGCATGGACAGTACTAAAATACAAAAGAAAGAAAGCAATATTGACAACAGACAGACATGTTAATAATGACACAAGGAACACTCTAGACTCAAGGGAAGCATATTATAGGAGTCATTTTTTATTTTGCTCACGTGTCTGAATCAGGCATTGATGCCACACAGTCGCACCAGGTTAAGGATGTCTGTGCTGGTCCATATACGTGTAACTCATAATACTGCACCACGGTACTACTACCACAGTAGGTGAATGAATTGATGGGGTTCTCCTACAAAGGAAGTGGAACTATTTGTGAAATCAGCTGGGGTAGTCGTGCATTTTAATGCTAACCTACGTGTTTGCCCCACCTATTTCATCCGTGCTTTTATTATATTTTGCAATCTCTCCGTTTATTGCCAACAATCCCATGCAAGATTGTAAGTGCAAAATATTTTAACAGTTCTAAACTGAAACAGCTTTAACATTTTCTCTGTAATCATTTTTCTTTTTGCAGAAGTATACTCATTTCTTCAATGAACACCACCATAACAGGTCACACACAACTTTTGTTGAACACAAACAAACCTGTCTGCATTTTTAAAACATTCATACTTATTGTGAACCACATTTTGGTACAGTGACAACAGGTGAGAATGAGAAACAGACTCAGTTTTAGTCAACTGTTTGGCTTCTTAAGAGGGGATAAACTGAAGAAGCTGGGATCAACTTTTTAAGGTTGATCCCAGCTTCTGCTGATAAAGGTCAGTCGCAGTAGCACCAGTAGGTGGAACGTGCTCGGGAACCTTTGCAGGACACACCCCACAGGACGGTTCATTTGGTATTCCTTTTCCTGCAAGACACAGTGTGTTTTTACAGTTGCATGAGTTAAAATTTACTTGGTGTAATCAACATAAATATAACTGCAAAAAATGTATTTAGTTTCATATATGATCTTGTCCTATTAGTCCAGTGCCCCTTCAGCTTATGTATCAGTTGATTAGATCTCGATGCAAATACTCAAAAACAAAAGCAAATATACATATAATAGCAAGATATAAGATAAGATAACTCTTTATTGTCATTGCACAGTCATACATAGTACAATAGTACAATGAAATTGGAAAACTGTCCTACGTTGGCACCACATATAACACGACACAATACGACACATCACAATGCAACACAAACAACACAGCACAGTATATTAACTTAGTAATAAAAAAGAAGAATAAGTGTATTTGAATTTCACACTGCTATTATTACACATTAATTGTTATTGCACCTTGTTATAAATATAAATATTATTATTGTTACTGTTTTTACCGTTGTTACCTCCCCCCAAAAAAAGTCCAGGGAGGTATCCAGTCAGGTCAGCTGTTAGCATTGATCAGGGCTATTGCCCTGTTGTAAAAGCTGTCCTTGAGTCTATTTGTTCGGGACCTCAGCAGCCTGAACCCCCATGCCAGACGGCAGCAGCCTAAACACCCGGTGTCCTGGGTGTGTGCAGTCCCGTAGGATGCTGCGTGCCCTCTTGAGACAGCGAGTGCTGTACAGGTCCTTCAGGGAGGGAAGAGGATGTCCAACGATTTTTTGGGCCATATTGATGACCGTCTGGAGTGCCTTTCTGTGTGCTGTGGTGCAGCTGGAAAACCACACACAGATGCAATATGTCAGCACACTTTCAATGGAGCAGCGGTAGAAACGGTCAGCAGCTCCTTCAGGTCCATTTTTCTGAGGATTCTCAGAAAGTGGAGACGCTGTTGGGCCTTCTTCCAAACCACAGAGGTATTTGAGCTCCATTGGAGGTCTGTGTCTATGTGCACACCCAGGAACATGAAACTGGACACCCTTTCCACGCACTCCCTGTTGATGCTGACAGGCTGCAGCTCAGACTTCCTTCTTCTGAAGTCACTACCAGTTCTCTTGTCTTGGTGGTACTGAGGTCCAGGTTGCTATCTACACACCAATCTGACAGCCTCTAAACTTCAGCTCTGTACGCCGTCTCATCTCCCCCTGAAATGAGCCCCACCTTTGGGGGAGATGAGACATATCCAAATAATTCAGGCCAAACTAATGAGGTGTTTTATAAATTCAAACTGTCCCATCTGTTGTAAATGTCAGCATTTACAACAGATGGGATGTGGATGTGCACATATGCAATTAATTACACATTTGTGTGTGTAGACTGTCAAACTAAACATATGCAGCGTTCCAGATAGCTCGGAACTCAGATGTCCTGATGTTGCTGTCATTCAGTATCACTACGGCCGTCTTCTTCTGTTTGTCTACCACCACTATGTCCGGTTGGTTAGCCACCACCATTTTGTCCGTCTGTAT